AATAGCAAATTCAAGCAATTGCAACATAGAAGGTATGGCCCACAAATCCAAAAATAAGTGGCATCTGCCTGTTTACAGAAATTCGTCAACCACTGCTCAATTTCATTGAAAAGAACATTTATTTCCTCTGGGTCTCAAAAATAAAGTTTTAAAGGCTTGCAATGCATAAATGAAGAACCCATTAAACATATACCAATGCACGCTTGATTTACTAAGTGCTAAAGATACTTCAATTTTTAACATATATCCATATCAAAAAGGTCCTAAAATGTTTGAACACTGACATTTTCTAAGCATCTCTATAAAATAGGTACTAAAAGCACAGAAGATAAACACACACACACACACACACACACACACACACACACACACACAGAAGATAACTATAGTCTAGCATAAAAGACATAAAAATGCCTAATAATTCAAAAAATTCACCTATGCTCCTTATCAATCTATTGTTTCAACTGTCTTGACAAGCAGCATATATTGTAATTTCTTAGAACAAAAATTGTACTAGACCTAGTTAGTGCTACAGAAATATTTATATTTAACCAAGTATCTCATGCAACATCATTATATTTCAGGCTTTCAAAATTATTACTAAAAATATCAGTGAACCATGTTTACCAATTTAGGCCATTTTTTAAATTAAATAAAATTCTGAGTGTGCATTATCTGTCCAACCCTGTGATGACACATTTGTAGCTATTAGTTAAAGGAGCAGATAAATATCACTTATATTGCTTTTATACACATAAGAACAGAGGGACAGAAGCACAGCTAATGAGTATACTGGGTGAATAAGGGAAAGCTTCTAAAGAAAAACTATTTAAATTGGAGTATAAGCAGGAGTTTTCCAGGTCTATGGGGTAAGAGGAAGAGAGAGGGCGGAATGGTAGAGCAACACCACTCTAACTTGAATATAGAAAAAAGAAAATGAAACATGAAAAAGACTTAGCAAGTCCTAAAAAATGAGTAGTTCAATGCTACAGAAGCATAGGGCTTGAACACACTGGAAAAAAGCAGGGAGCTGGTGACAATGTAAAGACCATAAGACTAAAGACTCTAGGATCTGAATGCAAATACTTTTACATGACAAACTAAAGAGTTAAGATTGGATGTGACTGTATGAGCCATAGAGAATGTACAGTTTTTCCAGTAAGAGATATGACATGATTTATTTTATTTTGTAGGAAAATGACACTGGCAGCAACTTTGATCTTGGGTAGCAATGAGGAAAGACTAATGGCAAAGACCAATCAGCTACTGTGCAAATCAGAAGATAACCAAAAGTAATGACAGTGAGGATGAAGAGAAACCAGATGAAGAGAATCAGGGATAAAAGCCAGAGGCCGACATGCCTACTTTTTAAAAATGTCCCTCATATGTGATTATTTTCCCTTTTCCATATTCTTTGGTATAGTTGTATCCTTTGCATGGAAAAAAATTAAGCAGTAAGACTGTCAAAACTGAAGGCCTTTATTGTTTCTCTTCCCATGGTATTAGGATGGAAAACACATTAGAAATGCAGTAATTCAGAGTCGAGAGACCTGGATTTCAGGTTGTCTCTGCTTTGAGACTGTGGGCATAACAATTAGCTTCTAAAAGCTTTGATTTTCTCATTTGTAAAAAGAGGAAATTAGACAAGATGATCTGAAACTCTTGAAAGTTCTAAAGTGCTACGATTGTACTGATACATCTTTAATTTTCAGGTCTCAAAAAAAATGCAAATACAATCATCTATTTAACTACCAACCAAATGTGAAAAATCCATCAAAACCAGGCAAACACTATTCTATTATTTACCTACTACATTTATTTGTAAAAGGTTTCATGGCATACATTAAGTCATATACCGTAGTCATCAACTACTCATCTGAAACCCTAACTCTGTAAGACTTCTCTGTCAGCCATTTCACTTTCAATTACTAAGTATCTTTCCAAAACATCTCAAAAAGGAGCATTCTTTTATTGGAGTGGTTCAAAAGACTAAATGAATGTCTGCAAAGTTGAATAGTAGTATTGTTGGGTACAAGTTTTCAGACATAACACTATCCTATGGAATCATGTTTGTCTGAACCTCTTACTGACAAAGAACTTTTTAACAATATTCCTTTATCAATCAAAACAAAATGTGTTTTAAACTTGAGAAATATGGACTCAAGATTTGTAACCATAAACTGTGTGACTTTTTACTAATGTTAAAAGAAAAACTGTATTACAAATTCTTCTAATACTAAAACATATAGAAATATTCTGAAATTGTTTCTCTTCAAGAATAACATTTAAGCCTGGTTTTAAAAAAAAACATATAGTTTGGTGAAAGGATTCTCTTTCTTCAAAACAAAAAGATGGAACAAATAACATTTAAAGGTGAAAACTCCAGATGTAAATCTTGCATTTTGCAGCCTGTTCTAAATTTATGGAGCATAATTAATATAGTCTAAGTTAAAATTATATATTTCAAAGGAAATAACATTCTAAGGTTTTGTAAACTGTAATATTAAACTATAAATAGAGGCTTTTCTAATGATGTTTTATGTTACACTAGTTCTCAGTGTTTCTTCTAAAGACCTGAACAATTTATTGGTTATACAGTATACTACGCTATAAATATATACACTAGAGTACTTTCTCTTTAAGGTATCCATGTAATTTTTCTTGCTTCCTAAAATAGAACTATACATTTTTCTGAGTTAACCAAAATAAATTCTGGAAAGAGCTGAACTGTTATTTACCATGATCAGAGTGTAAAATCCTTTACTATGCAAATCTGTATTATAGCTTAAAATATCACGCATTTTTTCTTTCAAACTGCTGGTTACGTATCAATGAACATCAAAATGAACCTGCCATAACCCACAAGAGATGTGGATGTTTAGCTTAAATTTCAACTAGACCTTTGGTCCAAGAAAAAAATCCTTTACTTTGACTTTTCTTACATGTAATAAATAGTGGTTAAAAACTAATGCTTTCAAAAAATAAAAATAAAATGAAAACTAACGCTTTCAGATCCTGAAAGTTTTCTTAAAAGCATATTTTGAAGATACACAAACTGATCTTTAGTAAAGAATCTCCATTAATCCTAGTCAAACAAATTTCACGCAAGAAGAAAGTGTATTCGACTCAATAATTTTATTAGAAGGGGAAAATATTTTAAAAGAACTAATAGAAGCAGGAATTAAGTTATCTGTTTTTTGTTGTAGCTCATGCTATTCAAATACAATTCAGAAGCAGAATTTTTAACTTTTCTTAAAAGTTGCCTGCTATTTTAACCAAAAAAAAAAAACACCTTTAAAAATTCCAGATCAAGTATATTACAAAGTTAGCATGAGGAGTATGAAAAACAGCACATCTGATTTGTTTTGCAATGTCTATGTCCAATTAGGAAAATTAGATGCATTTTCCCAAAATGTATCTAATTAAGATTCCCACAGAACAACGGTATATCAAGTAAAGTGGATCATCCAAAAGCAAAATACATGTCAATTACAGTACCTCAAGGACACCTGGCCATTAAACTAAAAGAATCCTGCGGGGTGGGGGAGTGGAGTTTACGAACAACTGAATACTATGGGGCCCGTTCAGTTATAACAAGAGAAAAATTATTTACTATCTAAAGTACCTTATAATTTTCACGTTTTATGATAAAGCAGTTTATAAGGTGTGCTTTTTCGTTCCCTGTAGGTAACCAAGCACACACCTGCACACTACCTAGAGTCCACCTACCAACCATTCCAGTTACAAGGTGCACAGAGCGACAAGCAGCACTTCAACCTTACTGATGTCATTGTGACTGACAGCTTATTCAGAGCCTAAAAAAAACAAAACTCTTCCATAGAGTCTGACCAAGTTTAAGGTTACGAGGGGCAGGCTCGGATGTTCCCAGGAGCTCTGGTTCGGGGGGAGGGGGATTCTTGCTAGGATGGGGCAATGAGGGGACTGAAACCCACCCTTTGCAGGTAGGGAGCTGGGTCCTGTCCTGCAGTGAGTGCAAGCCCGCAAGCCCTGCGGGACCAAGGAGAGGCGATCTCAAAGGTACATTGTCCAGCTCGCCTTCTCCTAAGAGAACAATAAGCATGGGCTTCCTAAGGGGGGTTCCTTCAGTTCCCCCCTCAACTCCCAGGAAGACAAAGGTTCGGGCCCAGATCTCTGTCACTCCGCATTCCGTTCTGGATCGTGGGGACTCGAAAAGCCCAGCACGCAGCCATTTGGCCGAGGACGGAGCGTAGGACTTCAGGGTCCCCGCGGTGGGAGGGGATAAGTTACCAGACAACTAATTAGACGAACTCTTCCTACATTCTGCGGGCAGAATGCGGTGCACGTCTCAGGAGATCCTACCATCGGAGGAAGGTGCAGAACCCGGGATGTGAGAAAGCAAAATCAGGGTAGAGGGGCATCGAGAAATCGCCTGTAAACCACAAGGAGGAACTACGCGGTAGGGCCCACGGGTTGGCCGACCCCACGGGCGGAGGTGCCCGGCGGGTCGGACCCGACGGGCTGGCTCTCCGCGAGCTTTCAAACCGCCGCCGCCCCCGGAAGGCGCCCAGGCGATTGGAAGTTCCAGCACCGCCGTCACCAGCCCGAGGGCCCGAGCGGCAACTCGTCGGCGGGGCTCTCAGCCCTCCGGGTCTCCCCCCAGGAGACCCGACCCCACAAACTCCACCTCCGATCGGGAGCCCAGCTCGCGTCCCGCCGCCCGCTCCCCGCACCCAGAAACCTCCCTCCGGGACGGGACCGACGCCCCAGACCGAGCGGCGCCGCGAGAGTTCGAGGGGCGCGACGGGGCCGCACGGGGGGCGGATGGGGAGGGGGACGAGCAGAACCCGCGTCCCTCCGAGTCCGTCCCAGGACGCGGTGTCGCGACCACCCCCGCCTCGCCCCCCTCGGGCACGGCCCGGCCGGGCTCCGACCCACACCCATCCCCGCGCGCGCGGGCGGGCGGGCGGGCGAGCAGGGCGAGGACCCGAGCCAGCCCACTCCCCCGCCCCAGCTCTTACCCATCTTTCCGCCTCGCCTTGTAGACGTGCCCGTAGGTGCCGCGTCCCACTTTGCACCCTTCGTACTCAAACAAATCCTCCACCCGCTCCCGCTCCGCCGCCAGCTTCGCCTTGAAGTCATAATCCATTGTCTGCTTCCCCCATAGAGGCACCGGGACGCGGGGGCCGCCGCTCAGTCCCTCCTCCTCCTCCTCCTCCTCCTCCCCCCCGCGGCCGCCGCTCCACTTCGCCAACAGCCGCCAGCCGGGCGCGCGCACACACACACGCGCGCGACACCCGCCGCCCCGCGGGCCGCCTTCAGCAGGGGATTCCTCGGCGGTCCCCGCAGCCACCTCCTCCTCCTTCTCCTCCTCCTCCTCCGCGGCGGTGGCGGCGGCTCCAGCAAACACCCCCAGTCCCGCCTCCCCCCTTCATTTCCTTGTTTTGGAACCTGGTGGGCTGCGCCGCGGCTTCCTCGGGCTCATTAACAAACCAGCCCTCCCGCCCCCCGATGTCGCGAAGGCTCTTGGGAAATGTAGTTCGGGCAGCCCCGGGAGCACCTGAGTTTCAGTAGCACAAGAAAATACAACTCCCAGGTTGCATTGCGTCACTACAGCCTCGCCCCCCACAAGGCATGCACGCCTGCGCACTGGAATTGTCCCACCCCTCCTCAGGTAACGCAGGACTGCCAGTTCCTGTGAAGGCAAAAAAGTGCAAAGTTGCAATTCTTCTTTCTGCAAGTCTATATGGGAGCTGGTGGGAAGGAGGCCTCAGCTCTGGTACGAGGAAGGGACTTCAGTATAATAACTGTCCCGGGGCGAGGAGAGTAGGAAGCATTTAACAAACGCCTTGTGCAGGAGTTTGTTCCAGGGGTTTGAGAGGCGAGGGCTGCGGTTAGAACAATTGTAGCGCAGATGGTATTCTGTGGCCATTGGTCCGCCTGTTGCCCCGCCCCCCCGGCCGGCTGCTTATTGGCGGAGACTGCAGCATGACGTCCTCGTCGGTGCTTGGGTATCCCCAGGCTTTGGCTTCTTTCCTGCTCTTGATTGGTAAGTGAATGTGCTGAGTTCTTCCTGATAGGTTAATTTTTTTTTCTCGACGATGCAAAAAACCGTATTTCAAAAACTGAACATTACGCTGTTTCCTAAGTTCTAGCACCGGTCTGAGAAGAGCGAGTGACTTCTGAGCCCTAGCAGCCAATCCTCCTTTTCTTGACCTTCTGGTTATGATCTCCACCTAACATTTGAGTTTCCAGTAGCTGAGCTTGCTTGGGTCATCTGTCTGAGGACAGTTAAAGTTTTTGGAGGATGCAGCGTTTTAAAAAACAATCATTTGAGTTGGGTTGCAAAGGTGTTTTTTACGGTGTATGCATAATGCTGACGTTCTAGAATGTTTAAGGAAGTCTCTTTAATCCAGGTGAACCCTAATTCATTTCATTTTTGCGTGCATAATATGTCAGGTGATTGGAATACAATCTTAAACATGATTGATGCTAGGATGGGACTTACATGCTAAATTCGGTGGAAACACAAAGGAGGGAATGGCCGAGTTTATCTGAAATAGTAAGGAAAGTGAACAGTGTCCTGTCCGCTAGGTTCTGTAAGAAACCTAGACACCTAGAGAGAGGAGGGAGGAGAATGGTTTATTTACTACAACAGTAGTAAGTTCCCGGAGAAACTTCCTCAGATCTTGAAGTAAATCAGGAAGTATTTGAGTTTCTCTTATTTCCAGGCACTAAGATAAACGCTGGAGATACTAGATGAAAACTGATCTTTTCCCAACTGGGAACCCAAACGTATTGGAGGAGGAAAAAGGAGGAAAGAGAAGGGGAAGGGGTGGGGGAGAGGAGAAGAAGGGAGAGAGGGGGGAGGGAGGAAACTAAGAAGAGACTGGACAGATAAGCAGAAGTCAAATTACGAAAGAGCTATAAACGAGTATATCAAGCAGAAGTTTTAGATTTCAGCATTCTGTAGGCAATAGGAAGCTACTAAGCTAAGACTTTTGAGCTAAGGCGTGGTGTAACCAATGTTGTGTATTAAAAAAAAAATCCTTCTGACAACAGTATTTGAGATAGATTGGGGGGAGGTAAAAACAGTAAAAAGCTATTGCATAATACTGGTAAAAATACAAGGATCTGAACCATGGATTGACAGTGCTGATTATGAGGAGGGGGGGAAGCAGATATCGGAATTCTTTGTGAACAAGATTCAAGAAGACCTAGTGATTAATTAAATATGAGGATTAAGAAGACAATAATCCAAGATGAGAAAATAAAAGAATAGGAGCAATTTATAAGAGAAATATGATGAGTTTGCCTGGGACATGTTGAATATGAAATGCCTGTGAGGTATCAAGATAGAAATAACAAGTAAACAGATGAGTATTTTTACCTGCTAATAAGAAGTCTGACCTAAATGTACGGATATGAAAATCATCAGTGTATGATGGTGGAGTGTGGAGAATATTTTTTGGTTGGATGCCTTTTTTTTTTTAATTGATTTCAGAGAGAAAGGGAGAGGAAGAGAGAGAGAAGGAGAAACATCAATGATGAGAGAGAATCATTGATTGGCTGCGTCCTGTGTGCACCCCTCCTCACCCCCGCCCACTGGGGATTGAGACCACAACCCAGGCATGTGCCCTTGACCAGAATTCAACCCAGGACTCTTCAGTCCATTGGCCAATGCTCTATCCACCGAGACAAACAAGCTAGGGATGGTTGGTTGCTATTTTAAAATAGGAATTTTGCATTCACTTATCTTCAAAACATTCCTGTTAGGTCTGCTGTATTATTCCTGTTTTACATTTGAACAAACTAAAACAGCTAGTAAATTGCAGAGCCAGATCTTAATGAATATACTTGAAAGTAAATGGAAAGTGGTGGCCCTAACCAGTTTGGCTCAGCGGCTCCCCAGGTTCAGTTCTGGTCAAGGGCAACCTTGGTTGCAGGCTTCATCCCCAATCTTGGTTGGGACAAAGAAAGGCAACCAATTAATGTGTCTCTCTCACATCGATGTTTCTCTATCTCCAGCTCCTTTTGTGGCACACCAGTATGCTGTGGCACACTGGTTGAAAAATCGCTGTATTAGAGCAACTTATATCCAATGGCTGATCATCAATTCAGAGATATAAAGGCCCAGACCTCTCACCCCACGTCAGGACAACTCTGAGTCATCCTATCATCAGAACTCTTTGTGGGGTTCACTGAGGCCATCACTGAGAATGTATTGCAGACCAACTTTTCAATCTCCCCCATTCTGCTTTCTTCCTTTCCCCTCCAGAGGTACCGATCACAGTTTATTAACACTCTGTAACAAACTGATTAGATGTTAATCTCTATCCTGGGGTCTGTTTCCCTAGGAGCCCAACTTATAATATTCCCCACATGTGCAAGATGATGTAATTCAAGGTATTCACTGAGCATTGTTTCAAATACCCTGTTTCCCCCAAAATAAGACAGTGTCTTATATTAATTTTTTCTCCCAAAGTTGCGCTAGGTTTTATTTTCAGGGGATGTCTTATCTTTCCATGCACTAGGTCTTATTTTCGGAGGATGTCTTCTTTTCGGGGAAACACGGTAGGAAAGGACTGGAAACAACAGAAGTATTCATTAGAGGGGGACCGGACAAATAAATTATGGCCAATCCATGAATGAATGATTATGCAGCCCTGAAAATAGTGTGAAATCTGTAAAATATGCCTCTTGGATCTTCTTCCTGAAGGGAGGCCCAGCTGCTAAGCTCTGAATCTACCACAGCATTTGCAGTGAGGCTGTATTCCCCAGGAGTTACTCCAAGCCTATGACTGAGCATAGACTTCGCTTAGTTATTCTGGTGATTGTTCTGTGATTTAGTTATAATTCCTGTTTGGTCCTGTGATGGGGTGAGTGTAGTTTCCACCTACTCTGCTGCCATCTTGGGTCTCCAGATGCTTTTTTATTAAAAATAAAAAACAGTCTGTCTCAGATAGCACCAAACACCCTGAAATCCCAGATTAGGCTTTCTTATTTGTATTTTTCTTCTAATAAAGGAGAGTCTAACTGTAAGAATATTATTAGACATTCTGTCTTTATCTCTTAGCTACTCTACCCTGCCAAAAATAGATCATGGTAGATTAATCTGATTCTTAAAAATTAACCTAGTAGCCGAAACTCGTTTGGCTCAGTGGATAGAGCGTCGTCTACAGACTGAAAGGTCCCAGGTTCGATTCCGGTCAAGGGCATGTACATTGGTTGTGGGCACACACCTAGTAGGGGGTGTGCAGGAGACAGCTGGTCAATGTTTCTCTCTCATTGATGTTTCTAACTCTCTATCCCTCTCCCTTCCTCTCTGTAAAAAATCAATAATATATATATATATATATATTTTTTTTTTTAAATTAACCTAGTATTCTCTGTAGATATATTGCAAGACATTTTTTCTTTCTATTGGTAGTTTTTAGTTGATCATGTTTGGAAAAAAATATAAGATATCCTCAAATATACAATAAATACAACGTGCTACAAAACAACAATAAATTAGATTGATCAGTCCCACTATTGAGTAAATACTATTTCACAGTGGAGGGACGCATTATTTTCTTTTTATTCAGGGGGGGGGAAGTCAAATTTCTTTAAAAAAAAAAAAAAAAAAGAAACAATACTATGCCGAAACCAGTTTGCCTCAATGGATAGAGCGTCGGCTTGGGGACTGAAGGGACCCGAGTTCGATTCCGGTCAAGGGCATGTACCTTGGTTGCAGGCATATCCCCAGTAGGGGGTGTGCAAGAGGCAGCTGATTGATGACTCTCTCTCATCCGTGTTTCTAACTATCTCTCTCCCTTCCTCTCTGTACAAAAATCAATAAAATATATTATAAAAAAAAAAAGGAACAATACTACATAATAACCTTATTTGTCTCTTTGGCTTACTATGTTTTCAGGATACAGAGAAATTGAGAGTCTATAAATAAGACTTTGGCAGTAATTCTTTCATTCTTTAAACTTTGTAGCCCTAATACAGCACTAATTGTTTCTTGACACCAAAATACAGCCTGCCCTAAGTTTTAAGCAAAAATCAAACTAATAATATCACGCAGAAATTAATAAGGCCTAATTACATTGCTGGTAAGGTATTTGAAAAGTTTGATCTGAACATTAAAATATTGAATTCAAAAAAACTGAGTTCATTTGGCAAAGGTGGAGAATAGCAATGAAAGAAGAAATTGATGATTTCAGTAGTTTGTTCATCAAAGGAAAGTTGGGTGTGCCCTGCTTCCGATGGATTAGTCATGAAGAGAACTGAGCTACAAATCTTGCAAATCAGGTTTGATGCACATGTGATCGAAGTAGTTAGCAAAATCGTGACTATTTTTTAATGCCTTTGCCATTAATCAGAACCAGTTTATAAGCTATGTGGAAGTCAAATTTTAATATGGAGATAATATATCTATTCCCACAGTCTTATCTAGGTCA